CTCCAGAGAAGGAGCCTCCACAGCCTCCCTGGGCAGCCTGGGCCAGGGCTCCGTCACCCTCAGAGGGAAGAAGTTTTTCCTCGGGTTCAGCTGGAGCTTCCTCTGCTCCAGTTTGTGCCCGTTGCCCCTTGTCCTGTCGCTGGGCACCACTGAACAGAGTCTGGCCCCATCCTCCTGACTCCCACCACAGAGAATCACTCTGTCCCACTAAAAAGAGAACTCCACCTTATGAAGCCCCTTACCAGGTGCCTGACCACACCACGCTTCGATGCAAACAGCAGCGATGCAGAGCCAGGAACACAAGTTCACGTGTGCCGTGCTAGAGCAGGGGGCTGGGCACCACTGCCTGCCTTCTGCTTTCACAATCCTTTCGCTTCTGGATTTTGCCAGCGAAACGCAGGGCACTTGGTGCCTTGCACCTCAGCATACGCCTCGCTGCGCTTGCCAGAGTCCTGGCACACAGCGGGGCAGCTGCGGAAGGACGGGCAGTCCGTGCTGCTCTGGGCATGCTGGGTGCCAGTCCCTTAGACGGCTTTTTTTGGGCTCACATCACCGTTCCCGGCCGGAACACACAATTTTAGCAAACTTTGGAACGTGAGGAAAAAACAGCAAATGGCCTTTGCAATACCATCGCCCAGGAATTCTTTCCACTTGTACGAAAATACCCCTCAAAAAATGGAAAAATGTGTCAAATAAAGTTGTGAGGGAGAAGTGGTTTAATAAAAGCAACAGCAGCAGCAGATGCTGAGAGGCAGGCTCCAAGCTCCACCCCGGTGCCTCCGAGCCTCCAGTTTGGGGCAGGCAGATGAGAACATTTCAAGAAATTGGCCCCGAAGCCAGCTGCAAGCCAGACCTGGCATCTGAAGCGCAGCGCCTGGGCACGCGCCATCGGAGCGGACGCGCGAGCAGCGTCCCAGGGCAGCGGGCCGTGAGGCTGGCACGGCCACGGCTCCACACGCAGCCAGGCGGATTCGCGCCTGTGTCACACCCGGTGCCTACCCTGCGGACTAGGGAAAGTCGCTGAGGCAAAAATGACTGACTTGAACCTTTTCATAATCTCCTTTATGTATTTGCTCTGAAAATGCCGTATCTGATACACCCAGTATCAAAAGCAGAAGCGCTGGGAGTTACTTCTCCTGAACCAGAATAAACCGAGGAGCTGCAAGGAAGTCTAAATTGTACGTGGCCGTACGGAAGAGCAGCAAACGCTACGAGCCCAGGAATAGGAACGTGTTAAGAAAGAGCAGCAGGATCCCGAGAAACATCGGAACAGGCGCTCCACCATCACCATCTCAAATTCCCCGCACAGAGGACGGATGCGAGCGGGAAAGCCAGGGCGAGTGTTCTGTGAACAACACCACGCGTTTACAGGTGGGAAAATGGCTGCAAAGAATGACAGGTTCTCAGCCAGCTTCAGCCTGTGACTCACCAATGCAGGTCCTGCCGTCCGTGTGCAGGCGAAAGCCTGGCTTGCATTCGCAATAATACGACCCAAGGGTGTTCACACATCTGTGCTGACAGCCCCCGTTGTGGACCTGGCACTCGTCGACATCTGCGAAAAGGGAGAGGGGAAGAAACGTTCAGAGCAGCGGGCATGGCGGTATCTGCAGCCAGGAGTGTTCATCCTCTGGTGAGCGGCTCCAGACTTGAGGAACGGACGCAGAAGGAACAAGATGGCCATCGCAGTGTGTTTGATCAGTCAAGCTCTTCAAGAAATTCCAAGGACAAGCATGGGTTGGGGGGTGGGGGATGACAAAAAAGGCATCTTATTTGTCACTCAGCATAAACCGTCCTTCGCCTTGCTCACCCTGCAACGGTTACTTTTCCCATTTGCTCTAAGGCCATGGAGTTATTAAAATTTCACACTTCCTCACTGGGCGAGCCCGTCTGTTACTCACGCACACGAAGGGTGAGCGCAAACCCCCGAGGCCCCAGCCCGAAGCGCAGCAGCACAGCTCAGCCCCCAGCCTCATCCCTCGCAGCACGGAGCCCGGCTGCCACCCGGCCCAGCCACCAATGGATCAATTGTACAATTAGCAAGGATTTGTTCATAACTACACGACACTCGAGAGCACGACGAAGTCCAGCCTGACCCCAAAGTACAAAAGACAGGCTACAAACGGCGAGACTCTGACCGCAGGTCCCCAGCCCTCTCCTCCCCGCCCCACGACCAGAGCAAGCCCGGGAGAACCGAGGCAGCCGTGCCTGCAACGAGGAACCCAGCGGCCAGTAAATCCGTGCGTCTCCATTCCCACGGGTCAGACGATGGGCCCTCGAACAACAGGCAGCCCCCGAGCCAGACGCATCTTCCGCCGAGCGCCGAGCAAACTTTGAAGAGCTGAAACAGGAACTTGCCCACGAGCTCTGGGTAAAAAAAATCCTGTTATTTTCATTATCAAAGCTTCCGAATCAGGCAGGCGGGCGGCAGCGCGTTGCAGAAAGGGAGATTCCTTCCTGTTGCACAGACCTTACATCGCCTTTAAGCGCTGGGAATAACTTCCAGGACTGAGAAGAGACGTAGAACTGGAGCACCCAGCTACATGGTGCTAACCGAGCTGCGCATCAGAAGCTTGTCAAAGGCATCTGCAAGTTTCTGAGACATTCAGGCTCCTTCGTACGGCGGTGATTAGAAATGACAGGGGTGTTGGTGGCTATGGCTGCACAGCTCCCCAGTCCCTGCCAGCTGTGTGGGTGTGCACACGTGAACATCTACGCTACCTTTCGGACTGGAAAGGACCAAAGATCCCTGGTCAGATGAGGGAACCAGATCACACTCCCGCTAACAGCAAAGAAGCCGGCCAGCAACTCCTTTCCTCCTGGAGAGAAAACTCCAGTAGCTGTGGGTCCATTAGCGTTTCTACGCACTTTCTGCGTTTTGTGCAAACATCTTCAGCACACACCCTGATCGTCCGCTGGCACGCAGCGGTGCTGCTGGCCATGACACCCGTCAGGCAGGAGTTTGCCAGAGCAGGCAGCCAACCCCCCCCAGGCAAGGAGCTAACGTGGGGCACAGCTCTGCCCGGGGCTTGCCCACCAGACCCTTCCCCGGTGCCACAACCTGGGCAGAAACCCCAGCCCAAGGCCTGGACGGGGCAGGGAGTGAGGAGAAAAATCTCTGGAGGCTGCTAAGCATCCGACACCCAGCCCTGCCTGTCCACCAGCTTTGTTCCACGGGCAACTCCACAGCTTCACAGAAATACACGTTGCTCAGAATCAATGCCTTAAAGGGCCTGGGTGACAACGGACCAAAGCAGCGCACGCGGCTCGGAAAGAGCCGCTCCGGGGAGAGTCACGGGGGGCACTCCGGATAAGGGCATACATCACTTCAGGTTCTTTAGGGCACTTTAAGTACCCAAAAAGCTGTTACCACCGGTTAGCTATGAAGCTAGACCATAGCTGAGACACTTGATTGAGGACACAGCACTTTGAGATCTGTGCTGTTCAACAGGATTTCAGCTTGATTTTGCCACAAGCAAAACGCACATTTTCAGTACCGAAGGCTTTACGCTGCGTGTGCAGTGCTTCAGACAACGCGTGACTTCTTTTTGCATCCTAGACTCTCCCCGCTGTCGCGTCACTCACCTCAGTAAATCTGTCCAGTCCACCCTATTTCTTCAGCCGGAGCCTCCCAGTCCTCACTGAAGCTCCCCGGAGCTTTTCACAGAATCCCAGCATGGCAGGGGTTGGCAGGGCCCTCTGTGGGTCACCCAGCCCAACCCCCTGCCCAAGCAGGGTCACCCAGAGCAGGGGGCACAGCACCGCGTCCAGGCGGGGCTGGAATATCTCCAGAGGAGACTCCACCACAGCCTCCCTGGGCAGCCTGGGCCAGGGCTCCGTCACCCTCAGAGGGAAGAAGTTCTTCCTCATCTTCAGCTGGAGCTTCCCCTGCTTCAGTTTGTGCCTGCCCCTGGTCCTGTCACTGGGCACCACTGGAAAGAGTCTGGCCCCGTCCTCCTGACCCCCACCCTGCAGATATTTAGAGGCATTTCTAAGGTCCCCTCTCAGCCTTCTCTTCTCCAGGCTGAACAAGCCCAGCTCCCTCAGCCTCTCCTCATAGAAGAGATGCTCCAGTCCCACCATCACATGATGGAAAAGTCAAACCAAGGAGAGCAGGAGCAGAACTCCTGTGCATCGGGCTCAGCCAGGTGCTAGGACTCCCATGCATGGGACCGGCAGCAGGAACCGTGCTCCTGCTCTGCGCAGACCCCCCCTCGCTCCCCGGCAGCTCGCCGGG